CGCACGCCCGACCCGAGCTGCTCTGGGCTGTCATTCGCGTTCCTGGGCAGCGGGGCGGGCGCCATCGCTGCCTTTTCTTACCCTTGCAGGACAGAGCGAGAGAAAGACGATCCCTAGACTTCCGGCCAAACGCAGCCACCAGAGTCGGGTTCTCAAATTCGCCGGCCGAGACCACACAGTAAGAGCGCGGGCCCAGCAGTGGGCCAGACTTGTTTCGCAAGAGTTTTGGTTTTCGATATTTTTCCTCCCTGGCTCTTACCCCATCCCTACCCTGGCAGATTCCGGGACAGCTACACTCCGGGCTCGATTCCCTCTTCCCCACCATGGCCCCAGCCCACCCTCCCGTCCTGGAGGACCTGCAGCAGCTGCGTCCTTAGCAAAAGTCTAACGGAGCTTGAAAACGGCCCAGGGAGAGACTTCCTGTTAAAAAATGCAGTTCGTGCAGCAAAATACTCATGATAGGTTCGAGGAGGTTGGAGATGTGATGTGCACATTCTTTTTGCTTTTCTAAGTGCATATTTGAGGATATTTATTATAAAATGCTGGGAAAAAGAAAAAAATTGATATTGAAATCACTCATTGTGTTGTCCAAAAGCTCCTCACTGGAGTACTTCTTCCATGAGAAATTCTAGTTTTGTTTTTGTTTTTTGAGACAGGGTCTCACTATGTAGTTGAGACTGACCTGGAACTTACTATGTAGCCCAGGCTGGTCTCGAACTCACAGGATCGTCCTGCCTCATCCTACCCCATGCTAGGATTACAGGCGTGCACCACCACGCCCAGTCAGAAAATCTTGAAACCAGTGAAACAAAACCAAAAAGTGTGTTTCTCCCGATGAACGGAGGCAGCGAGCTTCCCAATCCTTTCTTTTCTAACTCTTTGCCCAGTGATTTTAACTTTAGCTGACTCCCGGCTAGATTTTCCCACTTTGGTTCTTGTTTTTATCGTTTGTGGTGGAAGGGAAATTCCATCCCAATCAGACCTGTTTCCCAGGACCTGGCACCTACTTGCCACCTGATGTGTATTTGTTGAATAAATGAATATATATTAACTTCCAGTCAGCTGGGTTTGATGTTGTAGTTCCTGAGCTTTTCTGGCAAACATCCCCAGTGCTTACCTAAGTAAACAAGCTATCAATAAAATCAACTAGCGAGTTATCAACTGAAGACCTGGAACTTTCTGTGGCACTCATGGCACTGAACAGGGAGAACTGCATGGAGTTGATAATACGGATTTATCTGCTGACTCAGTGTCAAATCCTAATCTGGCTGAGCTTCGCCAGCAACCCTTGGACCTAAGGCACCACTCTGGCTCTGTTTAGAAGGCAGACTCTAGCGCTCTGGAGGGTTCCACCCCCCCACCCCCTCAGTCAGCACAGGTGGTTGACGGTAAAGCCAGGACCCGAGCCCTGGTCAACAGAGTTCTGTCAGGGGAAGAGGACTCCTTCAGAAAGGAAGTGGAGACCTCAGCTCGCCCCCCACAACCCCCATGAAGTAGGTGTGTCAGCTTTTGTCCCAGAAACGCATTTCGGGACGGGTCATGGAAAGGTAGAGGCAGTGTTATTAAGCAGAATCAAAGAAAGACTAAGAAAAGAGTGTGGTGGTTCTTGATGGGTGAGGAGCGTTATGGTCTGAGGTTGGGGGTTTATGTGGTTTTATCTTCATGACGCGTGTCCTGGGATGCTTTTCTTTCCTTTTTAAAATTTCTTTTCTGTTTCTAAACTTACTTATCTTGTGTCCATCTCCTTAAGGTCAGGTTGCTCATTAGTGGGCTGAACCAAAAACTGGCTTTATCGAGTAAGATTAAATGAAATGTGAACTTTGTATGTTTGAAGTTGAGAGATATGGTGGAGAATTCTTTTGAGAGAGGAAATCTTTGCAATGCGTGAATTTATGGCACCGGAAGAAAACCATAGCCCAGGTTGCAGATGTATTATATCTTTAATACTTAGGGATTTAGGAGTGGGGATCCTGGAGAACAAGACACCCACTGCGGAAAAAAGGCACTGTAACCTTGTGTACCTTTGATTATGTCCCGAAGCTGAAATTTTCTTAAAATTTTATTTTTAAAAATTTTATTGATTGATTTACTGGTACCAGGGATTGGACTCAGGGCCTTGCACTTGCAAGGCAGGCATGGTGCCACTGAGCTACATCCCTGGCCCTATTTTTTAAAGTGCGATTCTAAAATTCCTATTTTCCTTGTTTCCTCTCTACCTCCTTGCTTCTTCTACCTCAGTTCCAATCTCATCACAGAGAGAAAGGCTTCAGGGCTGAGCGGCCATGGGTCCAGGTGCTCTGGGGGTCCCAGGAAGCAGACGCGGCCTCTGCCGTGAGCCCCGCCACCCACTCTGTCTGGTGAGCCGGGTGTTAGAAAAGGCCTTGCCCTGCCTCAAGCTGCTCTGCACTGTAGAAAGCCTCTGCCTAGACTGAGCTGGGTCTCATGGGGTCCCTGGCAAGGGAGGAGCCTCCTGCCACCCTAGCCCCTCTCCCAGGACTGTTGGAAGGTTAAAGGGTGTGGTGTATCTACGGGGAGTCAGCTCAGGCCTTTGCAGATTTAGAGCACAGTTTTGGAATCTATCGTTTGGGGTGCCACGGGCTCCTGGGCTCCTAAATCCCAGCCTTGTCCTGGTCAGTGCTGCTGTCGTTTTTTTGTTTTGTTTTGTTTTATTTCCTCCTCTGGGCTAAGTACTTTATATCCTTTAGTTTATCCAGCCTTCTTCACACCCCTGAGAAGTAGGTGTTATCTTTTCCATTTGTAGATGGCTCCAAGAGGCTACGTTGCAAAGCAAATAAATGGATTCAGCATTTGGGCTCAGGTCTGAGGCTGCACCATTTTCTTCTTTTGTTTTATAGGGGCCTCATGATGCTAGGCAAGGGCTCCTTCCCTGAGCTGCACCCCCAGCGTGTCATTGTGATCACTCTGGGAGGAGGGAACAGATGGGGGCTCCTGCCTGACTCCGGAGCTAGCACTGACACAGCTGGGTCTTTGGAAATTCAAGCAACCTGTTTGTATCTATTATTTCTGCCCCTCTTCTCTGCCGTCCGTGTCCCTCCCCAGGGTGATGGTGAAAGGTTCCTTAGCAACAGCCTGCTTCACCTTCAACCTAGGGATATTCTCTTGGGGGCCTCAGAGGGGGGTACAGGGACAGCCTGTGGGAGCCCATCCTTCTGGGTGCCTCAGTCCCAGAGCAATGACCCAGTGAGTGACCAAAGTCCTACCTCTGTTCCCTTGGATACACTTGTCACCAGGCTGCACCCGAGGGTCCCCAAGGCTGAAATAAAGAGCCCACACTTTCTATAGAAGAAGCTTTGCAGGTTCACTGATTCCTGTGGTGGAAAAAGAATGTTTAGGAAGCACCAGTAGGAGCCAAGAAAAGGGTTCATTACACAGATACTCACGGATGGAGTGCAAGTGCTCCGAGAAATAAGCTGGAGTTGGGTAGATTTAAGGGGTGTCTTCAAGATAGGTGATCTAGATGGGTATCTTTATTGTCAGGCTACAATGCAAGCTATGTGCATTTGAAGTGGATCTGCTGCCCACCAATACAGCTGCTTCCTTGGCGATAGAGGAGGAACAACTTACAGGTGAAAAGACAGGGTCTCCTTACGTGGTTCAGGTTGGTCTGGAACTCAGTACATGGACGGAAGTGGGGTGAGGCAGTGCACGTCTGAACTGCCAGTGCTTTGGAGGCTAAGGCAGGAGGATCGCTATGAGTTTGAGGTCAGTTCAGGCTATGTAATGAGACCGTATCTCAAAATACGACACACACAGATATACACACAAATTTTAAAACAGGGTCTCCTTAAGACACTAGGTTGCTGGGCCTGGGCTGCCAAAGCACCCAGTGAGAAATAAGCATCTTTATCATTTCAAACTTCCAGTCATTTTCATTGAGTTTTTTGAAAATGATTTTTAAATGTTTAAATAAACTGTTAAATAACTGTGATAATTTAAACAAGGTTTTGACTGTTACATTTTCCCTGAACTTATTAAGTATATAATGTTGCGATTTTGTTTTTGGACATCTAACGACTTTTTAACTAAAAAGTAGCATAACTCATAGTTAAAAAAAAAATTCAAATGAACTTTGAGGATGTTTTGTAGTGGACAAAAAAGACAAATACAAGGTTATGGTGGCACGTGCCTATAATTCCAGCACTTTGGAAGGCTGAGACAGGAGGGTTACAAAAGGCCCACCTGCACAATGTAGTAACTTGGTGAAACCTTGTTTCAAAATACCAACAACCACAAAAAAGGCTGGAGATGTAGCTCAAGGCCAAAGCCCTGGGTTCAATCTCCAGTATTGTAAAGAAAAGAGAGAAAGAGGAAGGAAAAAGGAAGGGAAGGGGGAGGGAGGAAAAAAGAAAAAGAGAAACACTGGATGATTCCACGTATATGAGGCGTAGTCAGCCCTTTGTACCCACGGGTTCCATATTTCCTGATTCAACCAACCAGGGATAAAAACTATTCAGTAAAAAAACAAAAACAAAAACATGGCATCTGTGCTGAACGTACACAGGTCTTTTTCTTGTCATTATTCCTGAATAATACAGTATAACAACTGTTTCCATAGTGCTTGCATTATATTAGCTGTATTAGCATCAGTAACCCGAGATGATGTAACCTGTACATGGGAGGGTGTGAGTAGGTTCTATGCAAACGCTGTGGTGTTTCATACAAGCATCTTGAGCATCCAGGGAATACTGTTACCCATGGTGCATCCAGAAACTAGTCCCCCGTGAATAGAGACTGAGAGACTTCTGTGCCTAGAACGCTCAAGGTCCTAGAAAGGAAAAATGGAATGGGGTGGCCAGGGGTTTGAGAAACAGAATGAAGAGTTAGTATTTAATGGGTGTGGAGATGGTGGAGATGGTTGCATAACAGTGTGAATTTCTATATGCTGAACACTCAAACAGGGCTGGAATGGTAAGTCATACCTTGTGTGTATTTGACCACAATTGATTTTTTTTTAAACCGGGGATCAAACTCAGGACCTTGCACTTGCAGGGCAGGTGGCAGCACCACTGAGCTAAATTCCTGACCTTGGTTCGTGTTTTTTGAGACAGGGTCTTGCTATGTAGCCCAATCTCTCTTGAATGCACTATGCAATTCTCCTGCTTCAGCCTCCTGAGTTTCGAGATTACAGTTGTGCACCACCATGCCTGACAGCAGTGTGATCTTTTAAAACTCAGACCGGCCTTGTTGATCGCCAGGTGGTTCGCATGTTCCTTCACAAGCCGGGAGCCTGCATCCTCGCGCCCGGCTCGGGCCACACCACCCCGTGAGTGTCTCACCCGAGCGCCTCCGCGGCGGCTACTCCTC